GTTGGAGCTGCAGGTGGTTGTGAGCCACCCTACATGGGTGCTGGAAACAGGACCAAGTGCTCCTAACCACTGAGGCATCTCTCCACACTCCCTAGTCTTTTACTTTTGAAGGGTCCATCTAAGTCCTGTGTGTGTGTGTGTGTGTGTGTGTGTGTGTGTGTGTGTGTGCCCATTCATGCACACATATGACATATACGCTGGAGTGACTTCTCCAGAATATTTAGGGTAGTGTGGCTGTAGATAGGACTGTGTGTGTGTGTGTGTGTGTGTGTGGTGGTGGTGGTATGATAGATGCTGTGTGTGTTGGTATAATCAATCTATTCCTGTGTATGTGGAAGTCAGAAGTTAACTCTGAGTATCTTCTATCACTCTTAATCTTAACTTTTTAAATTAAGATTAGGTTCTCTCACTGAACCTAGAGTTTACCATTTGCACTAAACTGGCTGGCCATGAAGTTCTAGGGATATTCCTGGCTCTACACTCCTTACCTCCACTAGAGGAGCTAAAGGCATACGTGGCCACACCCAGCTTTTGGATGGGGATCAGAACCAAGGATCCCATTCTTGCTTTGCAACCATTTGCCTACTGGATGTCTTTGTTTGTTCTATAGATTTATTTACTTTACTTGTATGAGTGTTTTTCCTCCATGTGTATATGTGTGCATGTGTGTGCCTGGTTCCCACAGAAATCGGAAGAGGGTGTTGGGTTTCCTAGAACTGTAGTGACAGATGGTTGTGAGGCACCATGTGGGTGCTGGGATCCAAATCCATGTCTTCCCCAAAGGCAGCAAGTGCTCTTAACCACTGAGCTGGCTTTTCAGCCCTGATGGTTTTTGTCTTGTTTTAGACAAAGCTTCACTGTGTAGCCCAGGCTGGCATTACAGGCACTACATACCTCTCTCTGACTGACGTTGAACTCACAGTAATCCTACTGTCTCAGCCTTCCCAAGCACTGGGATTACATGTGCACCATCACATAGAGGTCAGACAATAAAGTTCTTGTGGACACTTGCTAGCTCTGATCCCCAGAGTCCAGTGAATAAAGAGAGATTAAGAAGTGAAGAAGCCAGCACTCAGGGAGGCAGAGGCAGGCAGATCTTTGTGAGTTTGAGGCCAGCCTGGTGCAAAGTGCGTCCAGGATAGCCAAGATACACAGAGAAAGTCTGTCGAAGGAAGAAGAAGAAGAAGAAGAAGAAGAAGAAGAAGAAGAAGAAGAA